TTTGGTTGGTAAATGAATATAAAATTTACAAGGTTATCAATGGTAATGAGACATTTGGAATACCCTATATGTGGTGACGGTTGAAATGGAAATTAACGCAGAAGGTTGTTGTTTTGTGAAATCTGAAGAGTGAAGAGCCAAAGATAATCTGGATTTTACTAATATGCCAGATTTAGGGTCTGTTTTTCCTACTAGGTTGTTGAAGAAAAAGAGCATATGATAAAAAAAAAAAAAAACGTCCAAAACAGTTTTCACAAAAACAAAATCTTATTTAGAGGAACGGCAATGACTAATATTTTTTTAATCCTTTTTTAGATTAAAAGGTTTGGTTAAAAATTGTTTTTCTTGCGTCAACGGGTGACCATAAATTAATAGTGGAAATTTGTGCCTTTTCATGAAGAAAATGACATGGATTTGAAAATTCTTACAAAAATCAGATAATTGCCGGATTTCAATGAAACTTTCAGGACTTATTCACAAAGAAAATTATTTTAGAAAATCTTGGTAAAAATATGCAGTTACCCCATCTTCTACTTATTTAATTTCTCGAATGTATACTAAGTAGCAAGTCGTTGGAGAATTTAATTTGTCAAACAGTCCCCACCTTGTTACAGAAAATCTGCTCTAAATCGTAAAATACATGCAATATAAAACTAAAACAATTAGAAAAAGTTCTAATTTACTTTCTTTATGAATTATCGATATTGTCTTAAAAAATTTCGATGAATTAATTTTTACAAGAACTTACTATGTTTTTTTTTTTTTTAATAATCTATAAAGGTTTTAAATCTTAAAATTATGTATTAATTTGAAGTGGCCCTTTGGTGATATTGTTATTAAGTTAAAACTTATAAATAGAAAAAAAGCTTACAATTTTGAATTTAGCAACACCCAGTAGTGTTTGTGGATTTTTGTAAATTGGTAATTTTCTACTATTTCCTTTAGTAAAACTAAAGAGCCAAAATACCTAAAATTCTATAAAAATATATTTATTTTATTTCCCGTCTTCACCTATATCTTGCAATCAACAGGTTATGTGTCCAACATCTCATAAACACAGCCCCATGTTAAAAACAAATGCTTTTAGTTTTCTGCGATAAAATTAATTTGTTTTAATTCAGATAAAGAATTCACAGAAAATAATGACGTGCAAAAAAAAAAAAAAAAAAAAAAAAAAAAAAAACCCGAGTGTGAACAGACCGAAAATTCGACACGCATTTTGCCAAAAAAGCAATTCAATAAAAAAAATAAAAAAATAGAAAAAAAATTAATGCTTGTATAATTTAATAAAATGCTATTTTTATAATCAATTACATTAAGTAATTGGTTATATAAAATTAAAGAAAATTCAGTTTTAAAAGAAATTTTCGATTATTGCACTGCTGATCTTCCGTATTTTAGGTTTTAGTCTTTCCCGCGCTTTTTCCGACAGGGGTAGAATGAGTGTTCACCTCACAAGCTAGCGTGAGCAAATAAAACATTTTTCATTGTTTTTTTTAAGTAAAAAATAAACATTACCTTTAGTTAGAAACTCCATTTTATTAAGCCTTTAAAAAAGGTAGGTACCTCCACTTTTTCGGGAAAAAAAAAGAAACATCGTAGCTGAGCATGATGAAAAAATGCCCCAAACTCAAAAACAAAAAAATGTTTTTAATCCTTTCGCACGTTTGAAATTTTGGTTAAAAATCTCGTTTTGTTTACATCAGCGTAATAATTACGATTAGTTTTTTGGAAATGTAATCAATTATTCAGTTTAAAAGCTAAGAAAGCTTCAAGAATGCGTTTTCATTTTTATAAAATTCATTTTAAACCTTAGGTATCGAAAATCTTAGCGAAAAAGTGGCGGTACCTACAAATTTACTAATAGACTTCGAAACATCTCTAGGACAAATATTGGATTTTAAAGAGAATTTTAAGTTTTTTTTTTTCGTATACAGTAACGAATCGATGAGCGACAAAATATTGTTTAAAAATGCCTCAAAGTTTATTTATACACGGAAATAAATTAAGTTTCTTTTCATACAGCTTTGCTTTTACCATTTCAAAGAACCGAAATTCAAGTTCAAATGTGTTTTTTACTGATTTTTTTTTTTTTTTTTTTTTTTTTAGAAAGTCCGTCACGGTACAGGGACATCCTCAAAGAATTTAAATCTCCGTCTAAACATTTTATTAGAAAGAAATATTTCAGGATTTTTTAGTCATATTTGCGGCTTGCCTGTTGTTGACCAACAAAGACTGATCAAATCTGCGCTTACAATGACGCAATGAAATAGAAATTAGCAAATTGTGCATCGCATAAAAAAAAAGAGAAGTAGAATTATCCTAAAAAATCCACCATGGAAAAAAAAAATTAGGTAGCTAAACTTTGTTACATGGTGAGTGGGTTCCATTGAACTTCTCGTGAGACCACCCCCACTTCTTTTCCCGCTATAAGACGGATAATACAATTTTGTTTGAGAAGCTCACTCACATGAAACATGGAAATGCGACTGCTCCTGACCCCAGCAGGTGAACTTTTGGGGGGGCTTTCTTTAAACCGTTTTTCTCACAAATGTTGCAGTATGGGGGGCACACACGGTCAATTTCGTTTACAATACAATAATTACCAACTCGTAGACGAGGCATAGGGATTTTTTTAAAAACTTTATTTTAAATTGCCCCAAAAAGTTAAAGTAATTGTGTTTTGTTTTTTTATTCTGCATTTAAACAAAAACACTAATTTAAAAAATTAATGTGTGGAGGGTCAATAAAAAGAATGAAATCAAAATAAAAATAGTAAAGAATAAAGATTTTTTAGTAAACCATCCTGCTGACAAAAAAAAAAATAAATAAATAAAAATAAATAAATAAAAGAGAGAGAAAGGGTAAGGCTGGGGGGGGGGGAATATGACCGTTGAAAGAGGTGATAGGCTGGTTAGGGAACAGTGCCACCAAATAGGTAGATAATACGTGACAATAGAGAACAATGGTAAAAAAAAAAGTAATGAACATAAAAAGTGAGGAGGATGAGGCCCTAACAAAGTCATTTTTTCTCTTTGAAAGCTTTTAGACATTTTTTTTTTTTTTTTTTACTTTAACCTAGATTCAATTTTAACAAGATTACGAAGGATCGATTGTTATAGAGATAAAATAGAAAAATCTAACGTTTTGTAAAAAAGAGAATTTTGTAGTGTTGGGCTGAGAACTTTTCACCACCGCCAGAATTGGCACTCTTAGAATCTCATAAAAATAAGTAAAAGTGTAAAACTATCGATCGATCATATTGTCATGTTAAAAATCAAGATACAAAGAAAAGCTCTTTCACAGTGATGAAAAACTTAAAATTGTTTTTTTTTTTCGGGGGGGTAAAAATATAAAACTATTTCCGAACTCAATGAACTTTTACCAACCATGGAAAGAAATGAATTTTTCGTGTATATTTTTAATTTTCAAAGGGATGAAATTAAAAACAAAACGTAATACAAAACAATATCACCGTTATTACTCAAACAAAAAATCTTTTTCCTTCCTGACACTTGTACTATTCTTTAAATGTTTTTTCTTTTGGTTGTAACTTTGTTCATATTTTTAAAATTACGCCATTTTTTAAAACCTCGATCCTCAGTAACTGAAGAAAATAGGTTTACAGAGCAAAAACAATTTTAAAAAGAAGAAAGCAACTCTTCAGGAAGAAAAAAAAAAAGTAGAGATTTGGTTAATAAATGAAAAAAAAAAGTAAACTCCCCCCAAGATCGGCTTTTAAACAGAACCATTCTTGAAAACATGGTCACGTGACAATCCTCTATTAACGATGTCTTTTTGAAATGGATGCGGTTTAGTGTAGTTTGATGCTTAGAAAATACTGGCGCTTAACTTTTTAAATATAATCAACGTGAGATTTTTAAACATTCGTTCCCTGACCTTGAAAAATGCCAGGTTTGTGTGTGTGTGTCGTGAAAAGTTTTCATTTGACACTGGGCAGGAGGAAATAAGGAGAAAATTTAAAACAAAACTTGCGTCATGACTGTTTTTAAAAAAGAGAAAGATGATGTACCCAATCCGAGTAGCACAAAACAAAAATAAACAATAAAACGGAGAAAAACATGCAAGTTAAACGAAAACAACTTTAAAAATTTTATTTTTTAATTTTAAATAAATTTTGAGTGGGTTTTTTTGTAAAATAAGAAAAAAAATGTAAGTTCTTTTTCGAGTTGTTGCATGTTGGTCGGGAAAAGACGATTATTGCATTCGATTTTTCATAAAGATCGCGATCGTCTTTTATAATGAATTTTAAGAACAGCACGGGAAATGTTTTTTTTTGGCAAAAGAAAAAAAATCATTTGTGAAGTATAGAAGTATCAACATTAACAATTGCATTGCATTTAAAGATTAAAAAGAAAAAGTATATTTTTCATTAAAAAAAAAAAAAAATAATAATTTTGCGGAAAGTTTGCACGTTTTTTTGTTATTTTATTTGAAATATTAGTTTTCGCTCGATAAAAATCAGAAAAATCTTGCCAGAAGTTTTAAATAAAAATTTAGACATTTCGCCATAAAACAAAAATCAGTTTATACTTTATTTTAAAAAAATGAAACATTTAAAAAAGAAAAGAAACATATGGACAATTGATTAGAAGAATTAAAATATTAACTACAGCAAGCGCGGCAAGATGCTTGCTTTTTTTTTTAATAAAAATATGCGAACATTTTACAGAGAAAAATGCAAGTCTAAAACTTATATTTTTCTACAAATTAAACTCAAGAGGCTTAATTTAAAAGAAAATAAACTGATGTAAATAAAACAAAAAAGAAAAGTATTTTTTAAATAGGATTTCAGACCTTTTTTTATATATTTTTTTCTTATTTTCATCCTTTCCTCCACTAAGTCCATAACAAACAAAACAATTGAGGTAAACAAACAAGGAGAAGCATGAAGAATTTTCGTCTCTGTTACTTCGAAATATTGGGGTTTATAGCAACCGTTTTCATTTCATTCCTTCGTATTGTTACCATTTGCTTACCTGCTGGAGCATGTCCACCCTTCAAGTAATCAGCCTTGCTGTCAGGAGACGACATTATTGATGCTTAGCGTAGGATATTCTGAAGGCCGCTTTCTTTCACTTGAACAAGATAATCTGACACGTGACCAGGTTTGCAAGGACACGTGATTTCTTTACAACTTCCGCCTAAGACCAAACCGGGTTCTTCTCTTCATCTTCATCAAAAAATACGAATTAATTAGTCTAAAAATCTTTTAAAAATTGTTCTTTTAACCTATAATATTAATAAAAAAAGAATCTGTATTTTTTTTTTTTTTTATTTCAGATGACAACCACTAGCACAGTACCTAGACTTATCACACACACAGCAAAAATTGCTTTCATAATCCTCATTTGGGAGAGTAATTTTATTGACTGAATAATCATTATTGATAAAAATGGAAACTGAATGAAAAGTATACTAGAAAAAGACTTGTTTTTTAATTTACAATGTACAATGCAAAATCTTCCTCCCACACAGGAGTTTGCTCGTGCTAGGGAGGTTGAAAATAATATTAGCTCAAACCCCAGGGTGCTATGCCCCTTAGGCAGTATCTCTCCTCCAGGAGGGAGCTGGAGTCTTTACCCAGCACTGAAGTGCTGAAAGGGCTTGAGCAATTTCACTACAGATTTACAGATAACCCACTCTGTGTCACATTCTGTTGCATCATGGACATGTAGATAAATACAATGCAAAAATCTTTATTTTTCATATCAGAGATTTTGAAGATATAACAACTTTATGATTCTTAAGTAGAATATCTCTAAAAGGCTTATATGGCAAAAAACACAGTTAACAACTGATAGTCATAGATAAGAGTAAGACATTTATCACAAAACTATAAATCATAATTTGATGATAAAATCAGATATGAAATGATATATTACTAAAGGCAAATGTTTTTTATAAAGTCTCTGTGAACTTGCAAATAAGACGATATTCTTCACACACAAACATATTTATATTTGTAGATATGTATCTGTATATATATTTTTTTATATAAATATATATGAAAACATATTTACATGCACATATAGATATAAAATTATATACCTGCCTATCAATATATTGTAGCGGTAGCCCCGAGTGCCCCAGTACCACTGGAGGTTAAATGAGGCCCGCTAACATTTTTGAAGACGTTAAATCTGATGGTGAAACAATATAGACAATAGAACGAGGATATGTATGATATATGGAAATTTATTCTAAAAAGAAAAAGAAATAAAGTGGTCGGAAACAGTAGAGGTACAGAAGTTCTTGTGCAGGCATTGATGGTCGAGGTTGGTGTTGGTCGTTGCTGGGATCATCATTGTTGGTTGTTGGGGTTGAAGCTGATGTAGGTTGTTGCCAGGATCATCGTTGTTGATTGTCGAAGTTGATTGTTGCCGGGATGATCGCTGTTGGTTGTTGTTGTTGGCTGCTGGCTGGATCATCGTTGTTGATTGTCGAAGTTGATTGTTTCCAGGATGATCGCTGTTGTTGAAGCTGGTCGTTGCCGGGGGGATCGCTGTAGTTGATGATGGTCATTGCAGGGGTGCCACTTGTTGGTTGTTTGTCGTTGCCGGGATGCCAACTGTTGGTTGTTTGTCATTGCTGGGATGCCAACTTGACGTGTTGGGAAGGAAAGAAGAGCTGGCGTTGTTCGGGCATGTCACAGGTCCAGTGCAGGCGTTGCGTGTTTGCTGGTCGAGTCCGATATTAGTAACCTCCCGTATTAATTAGTGTACGGGAAAGGTTAAGGACGATGTGCAGGCAGCTAGTAGGGACGGAATGCCGAGAGTCAAACAGGAGCCAGGAGTAGTAGGCGAAGTAGAGAGAGAAGGAAAGTTCCCAACTATTGTCAAGCTGGCAGACAAAAAAAATGGGAGCGTAACTTAATACACAGCCTGTTGATCGACATCCTTGGCCAACGAAGGCCAAGGCCTGCGTATCCGACCACCTCCCTGAATCTAGCGAGAAGTCACTGTCTTGTGACAAGGGAGTCCAGCAAGAGAAATTGGATCAGCTAACCGTAAAGTCTCTATAATAAAATACTACGAGGTTAGCTAAAGAGAACTATGGCCTAAAAATGACTAGCAGTATATTACAACTAGATTTGTAATATAACTTCACTAAAAAGGGGACTTGCTAGTCTCTCCCACAGGTTAACAGTGTGTAGGGGGCATGAATGAGAGATCAAGGTCGAAATGACTTGTTCCTTTGCCGGTTCAAGGATCGAAGGAGGAGGTAACTCCGACAATATAATAATCTCTTCTTGCCAGAAGAATGCCAGCTCTTCATTGATCATCACATGACAATATGCAAATATATGACTCTTCAGCCTAGCCTCAATCTGCATGATCCTTTCAGATATAAAACTTGCACTGTCTATCATTTGAGGTCACTGGCTAGTATTTTGGAATGTCTGGTTAAAACACCTATGGAATTAACATTAATTCCATTTATAATTTTACGCGCGCGCGAGTTTCCTCCCTTTTGTTTTACACTCGTGCGTGTGTGCGCGTGTTTTCACCCCTACCTTTCACTCACAGCTAAAACATAGCAGTAACCTACTTTGAGCTCCTACTGATTTGGACTCATAACAGATTTTGAATTTTCCCGCGCGTTTCGTGGCGTTTCAAACGGCCAGCGTTTGCAAGCCAGTTGCCTCTTAGCTTTCAACCGGACTGGATGGGCAACTCATTTATTCCGTGCACTTAACCCATACGCGGGCCGGAATATCTTATTTTTTTTCAATGTCGACTGCACCCTCTACCAAGACTTTTTCTCCTTTTGAAGCTGCCAACAGGTCGGACCTTTTTCTCCGTTTTCTACCAGAAGACGTTTTTAGAGACACACGACACTGTCGTCGGCAGAAACTTCGTGTTCAACAGGTGACTTAAACTTACCCCTGGCTTCGAACCAAATAATACAGGCAGGGATAGTATTACCTTTGAACGAAAACATTTTTCGTCTTTCTCTTTGGGCTCGCCGTAAACCATTCTACAAGACCATGCTTCGTTTCTCCCTCGGCTAGATGCCCACAGCAGTCCAGAACATTTACCAGCGGTCAATTCAATATTTACCGAACATTCTTTATAACTTTGAACCTGTACATTAAAAATATGCATAATCACTTACAACTTAAAATATCCACAGTGAGTACTCCTTTCTATCTGTGCGCACCTTCTTTTTTCCGGAACTGTATAAAACTTTCTTTTCCCGCCTTTGGCCATCTTGTATTTCTATTTTGGCGCGGAACATTTTTCATTGATCCCGACCTTGGGATGAGTTACGTGTTACTGTTTGATTAAAGTTTACTCATGTTTTTATAAACAGATGTCTTTGGCATTTTTATTCCGGCTATCATAATATATTTTATTTTATGCACTTGTTGATTGACCCCTTTCCTCTCACTGTTCATTCACGCATATTTTTATTTTTTTTTTCTTTGCTTGTAGACTCGGTAGTTTAGTGTGGTGTCTGGCACAAGGCCACTCAGTATAATCCAGCACTGCACCCTACCGGGTCCGCAACACACCAACTGACTTACATACAAAACCACATGTAGGACAGGTATGCTGTGTTGGACACAGTGACAAAATTTCCTTACAAGCAGTTTGATTCCTTCTTGGCCAATATGACTTTTTAGATGGTTTACCAAACCTAATTATATATATATATATGTATATATATATATATATGAGATGGATAATGGATAGGGCATCTCGGCATGGTGTTACGGTTAACAAGCTTGTCTCACTAAAACAGTTATGACTGAATAATGAGTATGAACCTCACTAGGTGCCCCATACTTTCGGCCTTGTGCCACATCTAAGCTATGCTTAGAAAATCAATATATATTAAATGGCTGTTTAAGCTGGAGTGATGGATTTAACTGTTTACTTTGATTTTTCAACATATTTGTTGTTGTATATGTTGGCTTGGGAAAGTAGTAATTTCTTCAGGAAAGATGAGATTGGGAAAAAAATGGAGTGTAGATTTATATTTTGATAATATTTGATGGCGCCACCTCGAGAATTTTTCTTCTGAGTAAATTACTTCCTCTTTTGATGAGTGTGGCATTTTTTAGATCAAAATTGTGCTTGAATTTGTTTCTGTGTATGACTAGAACATTTGTTAAATTGTTATGCATGAGGTCCCTTTTGTGTTCATAGATACATTTTTTTTAATTTCTTTAAATTTATATATATACATTAAGAGATCAGTAGACCTCTACAAACAGCTTGATCATCCGTTTGGAAGAAAAATTCCACCTAATGAGTCATTTGGTTTAAAGTATAGATTTAGTCATGCACAGGCTGCATCTCACTTTAAAACTTCAATTTTAAAGATCTGAGGGCTAATCCACACTTATATAGCAGATATGGAATACCCTCATATATATATATATATATATATATAGGGCTGGATTATCCTTTAGACTAGTACAGGCTGCAGACTAGGCTCCTCTAGCTTTTCTATAGCAATGATTTTAATTTTTGAGATGTTATAACTTCTAAATTATTTCATAAACTAAAATAATATCAATAGGACAAAGTCACATTTATTTGATTTTGCAGGAAGCAAAGTTATGAAAAGAATGTTTTAATTTGTGTTTCAAGTCAATAACATATTTGATTTTAGTTCTGAATGTTTAAATCTTAAAATTTTTTATAAAGCAGTGATTTTAATTTTCCAGATGTTATAACTTCTGAATAGTTTCACAAACTGAAATGATATCAATATGATCATATTTAATTTCATTGTTTTATTGTTATAATGCTGGTTATAAAAAATCGTTTTTTTATTACGATTATGTTAGAATATGTGATAATTTGATTTGCAATAAATAGTAATATTGCAACAAAAAGTTATCTCCCTTTGATTAACCCTTTAAAAAGCTAAAAATACATATATAGATAATCACGTGTATCACTCGAGAGATTGTTAGACGCAAAAGTCAAATATCCTTTTTTGTTCCTGGCAGTCAAACTAAAAAGAAGTACATATTCAGGCTCGTGACAATCAATATAAGATAAGTACCTAATATTATA